TGCATGTATATATGTTTTGTTGTTTTTGAGCAAGAGTGATTTCAAACTCTGGTAAAGTTTCTTTTGGACGTCAGTTTATATAGTGCCATTCGTATGAGGTCCGTGGAAACAGATTGGGCGAGGGTGAATTTTAGATGACATATAGATTAGCTAGATCATGTTAAATCAGTTTGTTCCGAATAATTTCCAAGTGTCAGTTATAATAACTATTTCTGTTATGTTGATTCAAATTTTAATTTTGATATTAGCAAACGGTTGTGCACTTAGATATACGCGACACCAGTGACTTAAAATATGCATTTGCGTCCAGGAGCAAACACTTCAACATGTCTGTACTGAAGACTTGTTTGTGGTGTGAAAAAGAACAAACGGATATGTATTTATGAATAAATGTGTGTGCTGACTGTATGGCAAGCCGTGGGATATAAGATATACACTTCCGATGAGGAACAAGCACTTAAACATGAAGTGATGATGTCATCTATTGGGTTGTTTAGGACCTGTGATATATGATATACACTTGCGATCTGGAACAAGCACTTAAACATGTCTCTACTTGTTAATAGAGTGCATTGGGGCACGGGTGCCCCAGGCGTCTAAGGCGCCGCGATTCGCTGTGCGGAGTTGCGTCCCTTGGACACGCCAGAAATCTATGATTGTGGGCTCGAATCCCGGTTCGCCCTGATTGTTTCTAGGTTTGTCAGCACCATACCCGTGCTCGAGGGTTTCACCGAAGTGGTAAACGTCTGAGACCTACATCACTTCGGGCTTTCCTCCCACATAAAGCTGACACGCCGCGATATAAGTGGAATAATGTTAAAAGCGGCGTTAACCCCACCTCAATCACTCACTCACTAGTAGAGTGCATGATTGGGTGGTAGAGCATGGTTCATTGCATGCCATCGTGCTCCGAGTCGTTGATCATGCTATCAGCCATCGGTCTGCTTAAGCCATGCCTATTATGATTTACAGGCCGCGGGAATAGAATCATTGCTGACTGCGTGTAAAATATCATCCGTTTAAAGGACGAAAATCTAAATTTCCCACATGTTGGCACACAGACCTGCAACACTTCGGGCCTCCTATATCAAGCTGACACGCTGTGATATAACTGAAATACTGTTAAAAGCAGCGTTAAACCCAACTCGCTCACCCCACTTTTGGCAGTAAATGGCTGTCAAGTATGTCAATGACCCGCCATCAAAACCCATAGTGTTCACGGCCACCCCCTTGAACCAGTGTGTGTGTTGACCCTATTGTCTCCCACCCCACAATGAACTACCGGTCTTTTATTATTCCGCTATATAAATTAGGAAGGAAGGTTAAGTGCTTTCGTGACAGTGAGCGAGGAGGGGGATGCCGCTCAAGCAATTAAGTTGCCACGTTACGGCGGGGTACGCTTATAATGAACTCCGCGCAGTGTACGCTTGTCGGGAGTCGAACCCGAATCTATAAGAGGCAAGAGACACCATAGGTTGCCCTGCCGCATCCCTGTCACTGGAGACATGTTGCACAATTACCTCCCTTGGGTGTACGTTAGCGTTCATTCTGGTTACTGATAACGCCACCTGCTACATCTATGTCGGCCTTGTGCCGCTGTCACTGCAGACCTCACGATGTCCTACACACAGAGATGACCACCCAATAGTCCGTACAAACCCGCCAGTGCAATCAGCATCAACCTAACCCGTGATGTACTGAAGCGGATATAGAAGGCTGGCCAGCCTCAGCCCTCAGCCTAAATCGCTTCAGCCTCTACAGCACTCGGACGCTCTTATGTTAGCTCAAAGTATGTGGAGGACAGTAGAGCTGATTTAATTATCTTTCTCTATTCTGCAACCAGCCCTGATCTATACACGCCCAATACATCGGACTTTGCACGAATACGTGCAACATTCTCTCCATGCCAAGCCTGTACTACGGAAGCCTTTTAGGGCAATTTGTTGTTTTTTTAAATTTCGATACTATCTTGAAATTTCAAGATACAGAAGTTGATACTATCTTGAAATTTCAACTTAGTATCTAGAAATTTTAACTTCTGTATCTTAAAATTTCAACTTAGTATCTTGAAATTTCAATTAGTATCTTGAAATTTCAAGATAGTATCGAAAAAAAACAAAAACAAATGGCCCTAAAACAAGGCCGTAGTTAACTTTTTTTACAGGGGGGGCAAATATTTGTACAAGTATCACTTGTCCCCAACTTGATTCAAATACAACTTTTTTCTATAAAAAAAATCTAGGGGGGCAACCCCCCCCCCCCCCCCCCCCCCCCCCCCCTCTTGATCGTTGCTCATGTTATCAATCACTGGTCCAGATTCGGTCACGTGGTCACTTTAACCTGAACAAGAGCTGAAATATAAACATTTTATGATAATTTAACTCTCAGTGATGAAATCTTCCTCCTATACCTTTGGTTTTTTTGTTTATTGGAAACAAATATGTAGTGAAGATGGTTTATCGATACCCGGTGATTGTGTCGCTATTTTATCAAAGTAAATTTTCCTGTTTAATAAATAGATTACCGAGTTCCAACAGAAGTAAGCTTGGCGTGTGAAGTGCAGGGAGGGGGCGGAGTTAGGTTGAAACTTCTGGATTCAGATATATATGCAATTAATAGTGTTGAAAAATACATCTATTACTGAGATAAAATTATTTTTGTAGCAAATGCTGATGTTAACCGACGATGATGAAAGGCACCTATATGCTATATCATTCTGCACATTGTTCATTGATAAGTATACACTCTCATTAGGGACCATATAAAAATCATATGACATATATTATCAGTAAAAAGAGAGACACGTTTACATGCGGCTATTTGCCTTCTTTGGTGTGAAGATTCGATGAATAAAGGTCATTCACATTTATGTAGGGTCATTCAAAATCATTCAGATACTGCATAGGTCTGACGAATTTCAACCATGCCTCGTCGTTTTCCCCAAATCGTATAATTAACTGAAATCCGCCCCGGCGGAAGTTCAGGTTGCGGCAATTCACAGATAGTACTCGCCTCACAACTAATGTTACGAACTTTAGATTCGCGCAACTTCGACCAGGCAAATCGTTAGCGGTGATAGCATTGGTCGCCACGTATATTGTTCATGCGTCCGATCGTCTTATGGATAAACATGAAATAAAGAAAAACTTGTTGTGATTTTAATCAATACTTGGTGAATATGCGGTAATTTGTGGAAATAACGGTAAATACCGATTGCGTGCCCCGGAAATCGATTATGTAAACGCGTCCAATGTTTGAAGACAACACACATTTCGAATGGAAATGAATGTCTTAAAGGGCTTGTCGTTCTCAAAACAGCATAAGTTCGTAAATTTATTTGGACAATGTGGGTAGTTTTCTCATATAAACATTAACCTGTTTCCATTTTGTGTCACCATCGGACTCGACGCCACCTTGTGGATTTGTAAATTAGAACTCTAGAATCGGGAGAGTGTGTGTCGAGTAAGGATAGTCACACAGAGAGTCCAAGTGCTACATAGTTAATGAAGATATTCCACTGTCATGGAGAGAGAGAGAGAGAGAGAGAGAGAGAGAGAGAGAGAGAGAGAGAGAGAGAGAGAGAGAGAGAGAGAGTGTACACACGCACACATGTATAACGGTATATATATAGAATGTACACACGCACACATGTATAACGGTATATATATAGAATGTACACACGCACACATGTATAACGGTATATATATATATATAACAGTACAAGTTAGTCAGAAGCATAGCTGCATACCTATAGCGTCTCTTGTGGTCCAATGGTTTCAGGTGGTGGTTGAACCCGTTATTTATTTGGTTCAGTTGTTTTATAACCATATACCTCTAAAAAACGCTTGGCTATGAAACTTATATAACTTTATGTATTCTTATATTCCGTGTGAAAAATCATTTGCGTGATTAGCCAAGTATTACATTGGTGTCAACTTGCACTGATATATATGTAATGGATTTATTCCGTGTCATTTTGCACGTGAGTTCGTGATGTTTAAGCATCAGAGTTTCAGTTTAAGTTTAAATTGTAGATTATCAAATGATATGAAAGAAATGGTAATCTCATTACCTGTAACATTATTAGCAACAAGCTGTGATGTATGTCAACAAGTACGACATCATATCGTACAAGGTTTGATAAAATGTCAATATTTGATTTAAAGGTATCCCTGATGATCAGGGTTAGAATTGGTCTTCAGCTACCCATGCTTGTCGTAAGAGGCAACTATCCTGCAGCCATGAAATTATAAATAGTTTTCAAGTGGTTACTTCAACCTTACTAAAACAGACCCGTGAAGATCCGGGGTAGAATAGGTCTTCACCAACCCATGCTTGCCGTAAAAGGCGACTATGCTTGTCATAAGAGGCGACTAACGGGATCGGGTGGTCAGGCTAGCTGACTTGGTTAAGGCAAGTCATCGTATCCCAATTACGTAGCTCGATGCTCATGGTGACAATCACTGGATTGTCTGGTCCAGACTCGGTTATTTACAGACAACAGAATATCGCTGAGTGCGGCGTTAAACAACAAACACACAAGTTGAAGTTTACAATTGTGCAAAACTACATATATACTAGTGTATGAAACTAGATATCTATCTCCTTTTCAGACGCGACGTTGGCATGAACGTCTATTGGCGGATCCAGAGGGGATGTGCAAGGTTGTGCACCCCTTTTTCAGACACCTTTCATGTTAATGGATATTTTGTGCAATTCCGTTTTTCAAGATCCTGTATCCGCCTCTGAACCGTCATTCCTTGAAATCAGAAATCGGAGGTATAGCTGATGCCTGGCAGATTTCATTTGAGCCTTTTTTACTTTTTTACTTATCACCATAGTCCGATACTGATAAATATCTCAAAGTGGTGCACTCTCCCTGTGCCGTGAACACATAGTGATAGGCGGGTCTGTATAGACGCAGCTAATCAATAGCCACTAGAAAGCCGTTTTCTGGCCATGACGCGAACATAAATAGTCAATAGGGAAGTACTCTTTGAGGAGCGCATGCGTAAAGCCAGGAAGCAGATGGACTTACTGTTTAGTAAACATTCAAGCGGGCTTTGTCAAGTTGTAAATTAACTTACTCCTGCGGTTCCTGTTGGATATTAAGGCTAAAGATACAGTTTGGTGTTTTAACATTCTCAGGAAGTGTCCGTTCACGCTCGACAAGCATACGATTGTCTGTGTGTCTGTAAATTTAACCCAGACCGACTGTCAAATCGTACATAGGTGTCTGACAACGTGCGATTCATGATGTGATGTTTTGGAGAGTTGGGGGATCTTTGACACTTCTTTCACTCCAGATGAATGAATGACGTGTAGATAGGGTTAGCTGTGATGTTACCCCGGCTTGTGAGAGTGATGCAGACGAGACATGTGGCAGGAGCTTTGCTGGCAGTCTCTTTGACCGCGATCTTCGGTTGTCTTCACTTGCTGAGTGAAGTGGCTCGTCTCGATGATGCAAGGGTCAGATTAGGTGAGTGAACGTTTTGTGTTTTAAAAATAGAACACAATTATGCCAAACACACACACGCATATTGTATTCCCAACATTACTTTGGCAGTTTACTTGATGACACCCTCAAGTTTTGCTGTCATACCGATTGTCTGGAGGGTGGCTATATCGATATTCATGGACGATCTTTTTGATTTATTATCGTCTGCTCGACGGTAATAAAACTGTCGTATTACTCATTAAAATATAATGTTTGCAACACATAAATACCATACAATATTTCCTTGCTGGGCTTAGTATCCCTTTTCATTCAATGTTCTACAAACTCTTTGATTATTATCAAGTTTGTAGTGTATATAGACCTAGTTGAATCAATTAGGGTACATCATATAAGCAATGATGTGTCGAGAAAAGGTTTGTTATTCATGAAAAGGAAAACAATTTACAAGACAAATACTATATAATTGAGAAGTAAACTTCTCACCAACCATATCACCCTCAATAAACAAACCTCACAATTACTCCAATCATTGGCCTGTTGTTATCCTAACTGTATTACCTAACCATTCATTACCTTAATTAATCCAATCAGCTTTAATCCAATTAGGAGTCCACCCAAGTTAATCGGCACTGTCATGGTGAGATAACACTGTAGGAAGAGTCAGGTGTACATCTAGCCTGGCCTTGTGAGGTTCATTAACTACACTGAGTCACACACTACACATCCGTACTACAGTGTAGCAAGTAGACTGATACATTGTCTAGGAAATCCTTGAAATGTTACACAAGACATTTCTCTCCTGGTGCTTTTTTTAAGCATATTTAATACATTTCTCTCTAAAATGCCTATCAAAGAAGTTACATTTCTCTCCTCTAAAACTTTTTTTTTTTTGCTGTGGAATAGACCTGGGAAGAGTTGATTTTTTATTATTTAGATTGATTTCAGTTTAATAAGTTCATATAACACAGTTTTGGTGCGGGACTATAGCAGGTTTTTCTGGTGTATATTTCCTTATATCCAATGATGGGAGATGCATAATTTGTCTACTTAGTGTAGACAAATTAAAAAAACACATTATATTGCTGCTTGTTGAAAGTGATACATAGTATTGATTTAAAATTATTCGCCAAATGGAGAGTTCAGCAACTGCCTTGACTTGTGAAATCACATCCCTAAAGATTAAACATTGCTTGCATAGCTGTGTTTCATGAATTGTGCAGTCATTTTTTTAAATCTAGTTGTAAAAAGGTTATTTATATCCCTTTGAGGGAACACACCTTGATAGGTTTAATCCAAGCCAGTTTGAAGGTAGAATTAGTGAGTAAATTATTTATCTTTTTAGCTTACAAGACAACCAAGTTAATCCCAGTTCTCTCCTTACACTTAGCTGCCTGGCTGCCATGTCACACAGGATCTATAGATATATGTGGTAAACACGAGTACTTCTGTGTAGATGTTATGTCATTAAAACTAAACCCAATTCAAGCGACCAGTGAAATTTTGATTTTGATTTTAATTTTGAATACAGTCAAGTCCTGTTAGTCCGACATTGTTGGTTTCATATGATTATGTTGGATTAACGAGTATGTCGGAGGAGGTAGTATGTAGTTTGTTTTCCAACTTATGTTAAAATAGTTATAACTATTATATTTTTCCTATGATCTTGTGATTCACATTAACAATTTGGTCCATGCTTTGAACTATACTGAGTAAACTTGTGAAACACTTATTACAATTGTATACATACTGTTATATAATGACCATAGTGTCAGACAATGTATTTTAGAAACAATAGTATTTTAATGGCTTAATAACAATGCTTAAGATTCTTTAACTTTAAGTGAATATCAGATTATTTTTTGCCTGAAATATTAATCATAACCTGAGCAGTTAAATGAGGCATTATGGTGTTGGAGAAACTTGATTACTTTACCAAGTAAATAGATAACCGTCCCTGGTGACTGATGTACTTGTGTCGGGGGGTGAAACACCAATACTGTTTTCCTTCCATGAAGCATGTCTACATCACCAAGTGTAGGAAAGAGCTCCAACTATGAGGCCTAGAAGTAAATGTAGTCAACCAGTAGGTGCATTTTGTTTACAGATTTTAAAAAGAAAACCATCCTAGAATATTGTGTAAAAAGTCCCATTTGGCATGTGTTGGATAAAAATGTCAATAAAGCATTTTGACTTGGCTCCTAAAACCACAACTTTTTTTAAAACTTCTTACTGATCAATTTAGTGTAAAAGCTGCTTGCTTCCCAAAAGCTGATGCATGTCATATGAAGATTTTGTGCTTAGACATGCAAAGTAATCGCTTAAAATTTGATGCATGGAAAACCAGATTAGAGAATAAGACAGTGATTTATAAGCTAAGAGTGCGATTTTATTTGATTAAGATAGAAAACCCAGAAATCAATTGAAAGATTGGAGTATTTTATTTGGCATCAGTATCTATCTATTTTAAAGGAAGCTTCTGAAGAACATTAATGATAGTGGTCTGTGAGTTTGTTGTTGGTCATCTGCATCATTAGGAGTTGATGGCCCTTAAGAGACAGTCCACATCGATGTTAATGTTGCTCAAAAAGGTGACCCTGTCTAGCTGTATTCTCTAGGCGATACATGAAAGTCGTGTGTCATGGTTATCATATTGACATATCTATCTGCACTTATCATCTTCTATCATCCGTTGTCATCTGTGATAATGCAAGAAGCTGGTCATTCCTAGACTGGGCCTCTGTTGCTCTGTGTGTATAAATGACTGCCATTTTCTTATTGTATCCTTTACGGTTTTATTCTAACCAATTAGCTTGTGTTGGTCGAAATGAAAATAATAATAACAATTTTGTAAACCTCAATATGACTTTTTTTGTCCTGATTTCTTTTGTTTATCCAATGTAGCAGTAGGGGGAGAGTTACAGGATTCCATGATCAGAAATATCCTGATATTGTGTTATGAGTCACGTTTTTGAAATATAATTGTGATAATGCTTTTAATATCATGTATATGAAGAAGTGTTCAAATACCGAAATTTTCAACTTGCCCCAATAAATCAGAGAAACGAAGAAAACTTTAATTTTAACACCAAAACTTTATTAACTGAAGCAACAGCGAATGGGAAATGTGCAGAAAAGAAAAAATGACTAGTCAGGTACATCTGAGTTTTAAAGTTAATAGTTATACCACCGTTTTTCATACTTGTTAGAGGGCAACTATGTTACAGTTACCCACTTGCCCGACACTTTATTGACATGGGTTGGGCATACTAACTGAACAGCACTGATATGTCATGCAGCTGTTTCAGATACATGTATGTGTAAATCTATATCAAAGCATCAACATTGTTCAGAATAATTTTTAGTATAGTATGCTTCATGTCTTTCATCAGGGTGGAAATACTTCGTCAAGGCATCGACAGAAAACAAAACAAAATAACAGTTGATAGATGAGGCCCAAGCTTGTGTGGAGGCACACATACTTTTATATCTTGGCAATCACAGGATTTGGTAGTGTCATTTTTCACTCAGTAAGGTATTCCCCTAATGCACTGCTTGATAAATATTTGACTACTCGGTAAGTGACAGTTAGTATGTCGACCCTTTAGCCAGGTGGAGAGGGCCATGGAATTTGTGCACCAGGGTATTATGGTCCTGTGTGTCAATGGAAGATTCATTACTGCTGATAAGATAATGGGCACAGGAGGTAGAAGGGCTAATCTTACCTTCCTTCACCTTCTTACCTGCCCCACTGATACACCCATCCACTTCCCGGGACCCAGTACGTACATACGGGTCAAGTGATCATTACCTGCGATACTGGTGGGCCAGGGTTTACAAATATATGGCTAGGGGACCCATATTATTTTACTGGTCGGCAATACTGACAGTCCAAAATTATGAATATATTTATAGGTCTTAAAATCTTAAGTTCTCTAATTTCAAACTAATTATCAACACTTTTTTCTTTATATTGGAAAGTAAAGATCAAGTCAGCTTTGTAAAGATAAAACATTGGTTTATATTATGATAAGCTGATTTTTTATTTCAGTTTTGGGAATATGTTCTAACCTATATTTGCTCTAGGCCTGGGGACACAGATTGGCCTCTGAGAGTGCCTTGATAAATCCCTGATAGTAGGCCTATGAACATAGAAATCAATATTTAGTAGTGTTGGGAATTGCTTGATAAATCATGATGGAGCATCATTTTGAGGCAAATATGTGGTCAAATAAAACAAATAAAAATTAGAAATCCAGATCAACGAATCAATCATGGAGGTCCACTGAATAGACACTGATTAAGTCAATTAATCAGAATACTACTCAATCACTGCAAGTTTGAAATTTACTTAAATCCTCAGTATTGTAGGACTGATAAATTCATGGACCAGTTCAAGCCATGTGGGATGTGGTACAATGCATGCAGCCACACCCCCTACCCCAAGTCAGTCTTCCTTCTACTTCATGGCACCCACATAACTACCTGTCCCCACTTGTGATCAGGAAGTAATATCAACACACAGCTTTTTAATCCATCATTCAGTTTTGGGTTTTTTATAGCATAATGTTCAAAATACCCTAAAAATATAGTATTTAATTGTGTGTTAGACAAATATTGAATAAACTGAAGCTATGTAGTCAGCTATGTATTTTGTAAGCAACAATGGAATAATTCACAATTTAATAACTTGAGTTGGGATGAACGCTGGGCTGAATGCAAATGCATGCGTGTCATGCAGTGGTATAATTCATTGATAAGTTGAAGTGTTTTCTCACATCCTGTAAACAGAAGCAGTGTTGGGGCTAAAACCAGACCAGAGGATTTGATCAATCGATTGTCGCCTGGTGAACTTATCGCTAGTTGTTGGTAATTACTCATGAAAAATTAAACCAAAATAATAGTTTTTGTCCGCTTGTCATGTCCTGATGTTCCAAAAGGTGTTTGTGCAGTTAAAACTGGAGCGGAAATTAAGCTGGGATTTTGTGGGATTATATAGTATCCTGTTTATGAATCTATTTACT